AGCAGAGAGCAGATTTAGACTGGACATTAGGAAGAACGTCTTCACAGTTAGAGTGGCCAAGGTCTGGAACGGGCTCCCAAGGGAGGTGGTGCTCTCCCCTACCCTGGGGGTCTTCAAGAGGAGGTTAGATAAGCATCTAGCTGGGGTCATCTAGACCCGGCCCTCTTTCCTGCCTATGCAGGGGGTCGGACTCGATGATCTATTGAGGTCCCTTCCGACCCTAACATCTATGAATCTATGAATCTACTGCGTCCAGTTTTGGGCTCCACAATTCAAAAAGGATGTGGAGAAGCTTGAGAGAGTGCAGAGAAGAGCCACACACATGGTCAGAGGTCAGGGAAGCAGACCCTATGACGACAGGCTGAGAGCCCTGGGGCTCTTTAGCCTGGAAAAGCGCAGGCTCAGGGCTGATCTGGTGGCCACCTATAAGTTCATCCGGGTGACCACCAGGATCTGGGGGAACGGCTGTTCACCAGAGCGCCCCAAGGGTTGACAAGATCAAACGGTCACAAACTCCTCCATGAGCGTTTCAGGCTGGACGTAAGGAAGAACTTCTTTACTGTCCGAGCTCCCAGGGTTTGGAATAGCCTGCTGCCGGAGGCGGTTCAAGCACCCACTTTGAACGCCTTCAAGACACATTTGGATGCTTATCTTGCTGGGATCCCGTGACCCCTGCTGATTTCCTGCCCCTGGGGCAGGGGGCTGGACTCGATGATCCCCTGGGGTCCCTTCCAGCCCAGATGTCTATGCCAGGGGCTGGGCTGTGATGCTCACCAGCTTCTCGAGTACCCTCGGGGTGTAAACGGATTCCTTACCCTCCATCAGTGCTGACCGTGTGAAGGAACATCTTGAGAGGCTGGACACCTTCAAGTTGGCCAGCCCTGACAGTTTACACCCCAGCTGCGTCCTCACCAAGGCCGAGTACAAGGGAATGATGTCCTGGGATTTGCTTGAGAAGCATTTCGTCATTCTCCCTTGCACTCCCTCACCGGGCCTCCCTGTCCCATAATGGGCGGGGGCGTCCCATGGGACTGATGAAAGACTGACGCACAGTACCCATTTAGCAAGTTGGCTTTTTCCTTGGCATCAGTTGTCAGTTCTCCCATCTGGTTTAGCCGGGGTCCAATGTTGCCCCGGCTTTTCCTCCGGCTCCCCACATATCTGAAAAAGGACCTTTTATTGTCCTTGGTACGTGTAGCCAGTTGGAGTTCAGTCGCAGCCTTGGCTTTCCTGGTTTGCTCCCTGCAGGACCGGACCAGTGCAGAGTACTCCTCCTTGGAGGTGGATCTCGTCCTCCGTCCTTTGTAGGTTTGTCTTTTAAGAGACAGGAGGTTCGCTAGTTCCCTGGAGAGCCAGGGGGGCTGCTGTGCCCTCTTGCTGCCTTTCCTCCGAGACGGGCTGGACTTTGCTTGCGCATCCAGGATCGCTCCCTTGAGGAGCAACCACTCGTCCTGAACTCCCCTCTCCGTTGGGTCGTGGTCCCTTAGGGCCTCACTGACGAGCCTCCTGAGCTTGGCGCAGTCGGCTTTCCTGAAGTCGAGGACTTCTGTATTGCTGACTGACTTGCCAGCTTCACGGCGATGGTGAAGGTGATGAGGTTGCGGTCGCTGTCACCCAGCTTCCCTTCGATCATTACGTCGCTGATTAAGTCATCCATCGCTGCCAGTACCGGATCAAGCAGCACTTTACCTCTCGTTGGCCCGTAGACTTCCTGCGTCAGATAGAGCTCATCCACCGTGCACCGGGAGCGTGCGGCCTCGGCCAATTCCCTGGTGAATTCCTGGTCAAGCTTTCGATCCTGGGTGGGAGGTCTGTAGTAGACCCCCACCGTTGTGTCCCCTGTGCCACGTTCCCCACGGATTTTCACCCAGAGGGTCTCCAGTCATCCACCCTGGGTGCCGATGTTGGCTTGCAGGGACACGTAGCTCTCCTTGACATCGAGAGCTACCCCCCCCCCCCTT